GTCGGAGCCAGTCCCGCTCTTCGCGCACCTCGCGCCGCTGAAACACCTGGAGACACTCGAGCTCTGCCACGTCGCCGAGGAACACGTCAGCCTCGAGGCCCAGGTGAACGACGCAGGGGACGCCGGTGCCGATGTGGAACGTGAAGCCGGCCCCGCGCCGCCGCAGTGGCCTCGCGTGCGACACCTTGCGGTGGACAAATGCTGCTCGCCACTGCCCGATTTCGTGCACGCCTTCCCGCACGTCCGCACGCTGCGCATGCACAACGTCAGCGTGAGCCCGCGGTCCGCGTCCTTCGGCAAACACGCAACGAATACGACGTGCTGGCCGCGTCTTGAGCGCGTCGTCGCGCGTCCGTACGACTTCCAGTACTGGCCGCTGCGGTGCCGCGTTCGCGTCCTCCAGCTCGATGGGCCAGTTGCGAAGGACGGGGGAAAGGCGGCGAATCTCGCGCTCGAGGCGATTGGGCGCATGGAGCCGGTCGTACTGAGGATGCAGATCTTGATGGGAGTTACGGGCGAATTCTGGTCAACGTTTGTGAGGGAGAATCCGAGGCTGCGGTACCTGGAGTTAAGTCTGGTCGATGGTGATCCTGAAATGGGTCTAGACGAGTGGATGGTAGGTTTGAGTGATCATCCTGTTCAAGTCGCATCAGTGCTGAGGTCGTGGCGGGGAATACAGGAAATAGTGCCAGAGTCGTTGAGTTCGTTGGGAATTATCTGCATCCGGGTCGACATCCGCAAGTCGCACGCACCTGTTTTTTACGGAATTGGCTGTGACCCTCTGCCTGTTCTCTCAGAGGCAGAAGTGTGGAACATCCTCCCAATGCACCTCGCAAAGTGCATACCTTCTGTACACTTTGTTGCACTGGGTTACGAACAAAGTGCTGTGTCCTGGTGGAGAGTGACAGGGAAGGAGGAAGCATGGCACCTGCAGCCCATGTCAACACTATTTGCAGATCACATAACTACTTACCTCAGTTCAGAGGAGTTTGAATCCAGCCTGGCCTTTGATAGTCAGTCAATTTTTCCAAGGTCTCTATCACTGCTGGCAGAGTGACATGTATACACCAACTCATAGACAGCAAGTTCTCAAATTGAAGAGAAAGACAATAAAAGGCTCTTGATGGATGGATGATGTACTATGCAATTGTAATGTGGCTATGAACAAAGGGAAATTTCCGCTTGGTAGTAACATAAGGTTAGGGTTAGGAAAAGACAGCAACAACAAAAAAGGCCCGCCCAGCCCGAGGGCCGAAGCAGGACAGGAAAATATTGCGACGGTGCATGTGCCGAAGCACATACAAACCGCAAAGCCCCCCTGAGGACAAGGTCGCCGTGCTATGAGAGGCCTCCACGGCCCACACTCCCTGGGACGTGAAGGGGAATGTGCCATCAAGGTAAGTATGAGGTGCCGTTGTCTCCGGGCTGCGCTTATATACTCCTCACGACCTGCGCACGGACCATCTGCACTTTGGGTCTCGTGATCGTACCCTCGGCCCGCATAAACTAGCTTCCACTCCCGAAACATTTCATCCTCATAATCCTCACTCACTCAAGTGCATTATAGACGCTCAAATCATGGAGCCTGCTTGTTGCTCTACTTACTCGTAGTGCTCGTGCCCCCTGCGTGCACAGTGTTCGCGCTTCATGCTACTGCCACCAGGGTGAACGCTTCAGTCCATGGCGCTTAGTCTGACAGCTTCCTTGCTCGGCTGCTTAAAGTTGTGGACGCGGACCATATTGGTGGTTCCATAATCCTTGCGCAAAGTCGGTGTCTGTTTCCCCTCCTGGCATTGGACGAGACATTGCGGGCTGCACTAGGCTCTTCCGACTCTCAACGCGATGTCCGTCGCTGTTGCCATTTGTATGTCTGCACTTTCTCCAAAGAGTCGACATTGACATTGAAGACACCCTAGTTCTCGGACTTGGTGTGGTGTTATTAGCTGCATGTCTTCAATGGCCGTCTACAGCTATCGGCGTTTCCTACCGAGATGACTTGCCAGGTCCAGTGGGGCTTCCGCTGATTGGCAACTTACTCCCTTTTTTCCTCAATCGCCACGACCTTCCCTCGTACTTGACCAAAGCCTACAAACAGTTTGGTGAACTCGTGACGTTCACTACTCCTGGCTGGGGGCGTCATATTATGATCAACCGACCCGAGTGGCTGAGCCATGTTCGCAAAAGTCCGTAAGGCTATTTTCATGCCCAAGACTGTTCCCTTATTATTGCCACTGTGTCCTGTCCAGACGATGGTATATTGTATGGAAAAGGTGATATCGCCCTGGCCGTATTTGCCGAGTTCCCTGGAAGCGAGAGTCCGTTTGGGACTGAGGGTGCCAAGTGGCGACAAAGTCGCAAGCTGATCAAGTGAGCTGCAGGATTTTATCTCAGATAAGGATTGAGTAGACCTGGGTTATAAGGCCCATTTTTTCAGCAAAGTCATTTGATGCCAGTGTCTCTAGTGTAATGGGTGAAGTATGTTCTTTCTTTACACTTCTTCACTCTTATGAGGAGATTGCTTCAAAACCTTACTATTGATTACACGCAGATAATTCAAATTGCCGGTGCATTACTTACAAACACCGCGAAGCAACAGATTCCCATAGATTTTTATGGTTAAACTTGGCCTGCTGGTCGTATTCGTAATGGTCTAACGTGTGATTACCTACAGAACTCTGTGGGCGTATACCCGTCGTGATCTTCTGTGAGATGGCGTTGAGTTACAAAACTACACTCCTCACGACAGACCCGTCTTGCCTCACTGAACCACACCCACTCGTCGACTCGATCACAATTCTGAATAGAATATCATCTGAGTTCGTCAGCATCGTACCCCAAATTGACATTCCCGCATTGACTTCTATACGCAGACGTCTGCCCAATCCATTCTGGCATATTACGGAGAAGGTGAACATATTCGTCTTATCAAGCCTGTGGCCATAAAGCTCATTGGCCTCAGCTGGACGGCCAACAGAAAGTGTTCAATGCAGCTCGTCGGCAGATCCATCGCGTGGTCGAAGATATTATCGCCGCGCGTCAGCACTCGTCTGATTCGGCGGTAGAGAACAACCATGACTTTCTTTCTACTCTCCTGCAGGAAGACGCCCGCACCGATCCTATCGCTCTACGTGACTGTCTAGTTACTCTCCTGTTCGCTGGGAGGGACACCACGCAGCACGCCCTGTCATGGTCGCTTCACGAGCTCTCCAAGGTGCCCGTCTGGCTCGACAAGATGCGCGCTGAGACGCTTTCGCGGGGCCCGCCTGGGCATGCTGTACAGTACGAAGATCTTTCCGTAGGTCTCATTTTTGCGCTCTAGCTGCCATGGTCGTACTGATGAGCCGTTTCGTAGAACTACCACATCCACCTCGCCGTGCTTTACGAGACTTTGCGCCTGTGGCCCGCAGTCTCGAAGAATGCACGTATTGCTCTCCGCGACGATGTGCTCCCGGCAATCCCTGAAGCTGGATACAGCCCAATCAGAGTGGCCAAAGGTGAATGGGTGGGGTGGTTCGATACAAGCATGATGCGGAGCGAGAAGGTCAGTTCCTATCGGTAGGGTTGTACTCTGAGTAATATTCACCGCACCCGTTTCTCCTGCCCGCTATTCATGCTAGGTGTGGGGTCCCGACGCAGAGCTCTTCAATCCAGCACGACACCTCGACGACGAAGGTCACTTCGTCAAGCCGCCGCAGCCCAAATTTCACTCATTCGGAGCAGGTCCCCGATTGTGGTAGGCCCTTTCTCGAGAAGCTACGAGCACGAACCTCATTTTCTATTGTCAGCCCGGGAGCACAACTTGCATCATTCGAGTTTGTCGCTATCTGGGCAAGCATTCTCCCATTTTTTGACCTCAAACCAGTTGACATGGAAGAGCGGAGATATACTGACGGTCTCACGATGTCTATGCAAGATCCTTTCATGATCACAGTTCATTCACGAAGCCTCTAAGGATCAATTGGCCGTACACAGCCCTCAGATTCTCAATTTTATACATCATAAATCCGCTCTATGATGTAAAATGGGTTAAGAGCTACGTCCGGGCTAGAAAATATCAAATCGATGTCTCTAATACCTATGCCGGTCATTACATACAAATTTTTGTGGAAGCAATAATGCATTGAATCATTGCACACCTGCATTGTGTACTGGGACATCCACGGCCCATGTCTATAACGGCTGAGCAATGGTCGGGAAAATATCAGCGCGGGTCTTCGCATCCAGAGCTGAGGAACCTCTACGCATTCAATCGGCTCACAGGCAGTGAACAATCTACGCGCCCGTAAGACGAAACCAGCCCTCCATCAGTTACGACAGCCAGCACGTAAGTGGCCGCCGGAGAATGTCCTCCAGAGCTTCCAAGTAGAGCAGCGCGAGAAAAAAGCGGGAAAGACATTCTGCATCGACCTAGGAAGGGATGCCGAATCTGATGGGGAACCTTCTACGTGCAAGTATGACGGATAGGGTCAACATGACTGGTAGAATGTCGTCAGCAGATTAATGGGTTGCTTAATAGTTACATCCGAATTTTAGGGAGATGAATGGACACTGTCGTTTGCAGTCGTCAGAGATATAAGTAGGCTACGAGTACTTGCTCGTCGTCCGAAAGCCCTGTATTGCCCGGTTGCCCACCGGCTGTTGCGTCACAACAGCAAAAGTAGCGAAGACCTCGTCCAGGAGCCGACGGACACAATTGTTAGAGAGACAAATCCCGACTCCCACGGAGTCGTCGAAAGTGAATAGGACGCACCTCCGAGGATACCCCATGCCGTCGAGGAAATGGTGGAACCCGGGTAAGAAGACGGTGCTCCGCGGAGGGAATAGTCTATCAATCCGTAACATTGAATAGCGGACGAGCATGTGCGCTACTGTGAGAGGCGAGGGGATGGTAGATAGCAGCGGCACAGTAATGACCAAGGGTACGATAATCAACGCTAGTAATAGCTGCTTATACGTCGACTCGTGGGATATGAAGCTGCGACGGTCGCGCGAAAGCTGGCGAGGTCTAATGGCGACTGCGGCGAGCGTGCTGGTCGGCCTGAGTTGGAAGCGTATGTTGAGGTGCTCAGTCGATGTAGAGGACAGTTAGTGCAATGTACTGAGACGAGGTATAGCCACGGACTAGAAGCGAGAACAGAGGGCGTCGAGGAGGAGATATAGGACGGCAGGAGGTCAGGTGGGTGAGATGTGAGCGTGCAAGTGTGTCTGCATTGGGAAGACATTCCCACGGAGGCCAACGGCGACGGCCAGTCATAAGACGACTATGCGCTGAGCTTGACGCCCCCGCCCCTCTGCTCATCGATGTCTCTGTCGCCCACGACGTCCACCGAATACGAGCCGTCGACGTCCAACAAGCGGCGTCGGACGGGCTTTGGGGACGCCACAAGCCACTTGGACATGAATCATCCCCAGGCGTCCACCTCCGGACAGTCCGCCCCGCCCACCGTCCCGCCAGCCCACATCCCAAAGCGCGGTGCACGGGCCTGCACCGCCTGCCGTAAGGGTAAGAATAGATGCGAAGGAGAGGTGGGTCTTGCTTGCCAATTGACTGCGTCGGACACGCCCTTACCCCCTCTCGTGGCCCGCCTCTCCGCCCGGGCCGGGCTGGTCAGTCTCCCTGTCGTCGTTGCCAATTAAGCGGCACACCCTGCGTCTTTGAGAAACCCGAGAAGAAAAATGTCCAGGTTATGTCTGGTGCCAGCGTCGAGTGAGCCTCTCACAATCACCTGTACCTCCGTTCGCTAACCTGGCAACGCCCCTCTACGCCCGCCAACTCAGACGACTCTCCCGCTTGGAAGGCCAATATCTTGTGAGCATGTCTGTCTCTCTCCTACATACCCCCCTCAGTCTCAACCGCGACTGTGACATGTCTCAGGTTATGCAAAGCCAGATGATTGGCATGCAATCATCCCTGGACCGAATACTGGCTGCCATCCAGATGCAAGGTCAACAGACCGCAGCCATAGTCCAGCAGACTGTATTTGCCAACGGCGGACCCCCACCTCTTCCACCACTCCGTAATGGTGTGGATATGTACGGATCTCCTGGCCCAGCAGAGCAATCGTCGCGTGGCCCTAGATCTTTTCCGCCTCTACCAGGTTTTGCACCTCCCGTGCGTCGTTTGAATGCGTTTGCTCGTGATTGCCCAAACTCACGTGTAGAGGACAGCCACACAAATACGCTACATATGGCATTGTGCCCAGCACAGCGCCATCGTCAGATGACGAATCGGAAGACACGCTGCCTCGGTCGGCTCTGAATGCTCCGATCGAGGCCCTTCAAGGTCTTGCGAATGCTGCAGCCGAAGCCGCCGCGGTACCGTCAGCCTCGCCACCTAGGTATTGATATTCTCGTGTGATGCCTGCTACTTGCTGAAATCTGTGCTCAAGGGTTAAGAAGCGGAAGAAAGCAGAGCCCACACCTCGGAATGCGTTTCCTCATGTTGTTGAGAAGGTGCCTTTACTGCCCTTATTTGATTGAATATCAATCTTATGGACCCGATAGGGGCTTGTGAGTGATGCTGAAGCACGAGAATTGTACACTATGTTTGTCTGTCCAATGGCCCTATGTTATTGTTGCTGACAGAGTATGGCCGAATCTGCAGTTTCTTCTCTGGTTGTCATATCTTCATCCCGTGCTTCGACCCAAGCTATGACACGTATGACGGGCTTATGGAGCGCACGCCCTGGACATTTGACTCTGTTCTGGCTGTGGCAAGTAAGATTAGAAGTGGTACCGGACCTTTGAGTTCTACTTTCTACAAAAGTCTAGAGGAAGCACAGGGCATAGCGCGCTCTACGCTCTTTGGACCAGTGGTTCGCAAAGAAGCTGTGCAAGGTAAAACATATGATATCTAGAACTGTGCAAGCGTTCATACCGTTCTTGCGCAGGCATGCTGCTCTTGGCCGCTTGGAGTACGAACGGGTGGTTGCCCAGCGGTCATGCCATGCGTATGGCCCTCGACCTCGGGCTGCATCGCGCTTTAGAGAAACTAGCCGATCGCGAGGGCGCGAAAAAGCGAAATGAGGAAGAAGAGCGAAATTTGGGTGAGTATATGCTCAGTATGCTACATGTTGTTTACTTATGCATCTAACTACGCCCAGTCATTTCCGCAAGGATTTGGTTATGCCTGTACTGGTTTGATCATCAGTACGTTCTAATGCTGGCTGTGGTATCGTCACTGACGCTGAGCCCTCCTCCAGGATGAGCCTAGGCACTGGCCGCCCGATTGTTCTCCGCGATGAAAATTCTATCAAACATTGTCGTTTACTCCTTGCACATCCTATGAGTTCTCCAACAGACGTTCGCCTCGTGTCACAGGTGGAGTTGATTGCCCAGAAGAGTATGTAGCTACGTCTTTCGCCTGCTGCATATTCTCACACGCTTAAATTAGCGCAAATTTATGAGACGTTATCACCACTTAATGGACAAGTTAATCACAACACGCTAGCTTTCATTCGCCGGGCAAATGTTGCACTTGATAAATGGTGGGCGGACTGTGACGAACTCCATCGTATGTATGATTGAGTGTCTGTCTAAAAAATACTAAATGATGATTAGGTCAATCTATGGACGAAGAATCCCTTCCGCGCAAAATCCTAGCGGGCGAGCTCCACTACGCGAAAGTCTGGCTTGTTTGCGTAGCCTTGCGTGGCGTCGCATGGGATAGGATGCCCTTCGAGCAACGCGAACTTGCGTTCCAAGCCAAGGATGCGGCCTCGAATTGCGTGTCGAACTTACTCAACTCTCCAACTTATAGGTGAGTCCTCTATCATATGTAGCTTGTGTATTGCTGAATCATTACTCGCAGAGCGGCGTTACGATATGCCGTGCATGACACCCTCGTCATGGCTGCCTTTTCCGGTCTTTTCTTGCTGAAGATGGCGAACCTCTTCCCGGCCGAGATGGATCTGGGTACTATTACCGTCCAGGTTGAGCAACTTGCCGAGTTGTTGTCCGACGTGGCAGCCGAGAGGTACGCTGCATTTTTATCAATGGACATAGCTGTTCCTTAATATAGGATTGTAGGTATGCGCTGACTCTTAGAGTCATGCTTGCTAGCTTAAAGCGCAAGGTCGGCATGACAGCACCGATGGGCCCCCCACATGGCCCGGACATGATGGCTCCGCCATACATTGATCCGAGTCTGATGCCACAGCTACCGTTCACCGTGGAGGAGCTCGGGTTGGGCTCTGGGACCCTGCCCAACGACCGGATGTTGTTCAGCCCATCAGCGATACCACTCTGGCTGCAGGAGCAGGTTGGTATTTGGGAGGCTGCCAACTTGAGGCCGTTCTAATACGTTGTTCACAGAGCCTCACGGACCTTGGGTTACCTTCAAACGGTTCCGACGGTATTTTTCTGCAGATGGGACACCCAAACGGATGGATGGGCGATTTCCCTCCCATGCCCGAGGCTTGGTAGATCCTTGTTCTGATATCACACCCTATCAAAAGTAAGCTTGTATATTTGTAGTCATAGTCATCCTGTCACCGCACATAGCTCTGTACCATTTGTCATTTGGATACGTTCTCATACAGCGCGGCTGCCTGCATTAGCTGTTTAGCTTGGATACTATATCACATCATCTTGGATCACTTTGACTACATGTACACAGTCCGAGAGAAGTATACACGGTCAAAAGTTTACGTGGGTCAGGTATACAGAACTGACATGGGCCATCTACTCGTCCTCGTCATCGCTCTCCTGTTCCTGCAGGAACTGCATAAAGCCGAGGAGTCAATCACTGTGTCTCGCGCATAGGGTGACATCGCACCTTCACGAGTGGCTGCGCCGCTTGCAGGAAGTGTTGCTTTCCTTGCGGCTTTGCACCCTTCTGGTGCCAATATATAATGGCTTGATCGGAGATACAGTCTTTGTTATACAGAACCTGGCCGGGAAATGAGTGGTGCTGTACCAATGGGATGAGTTAAAATGTTGCTACCTTGAGAACCTGGGAAAAGGCCTTAATGATACGTGTGTCTTCGTAACAGTACACCTGCACTGTATTAATGAGGGCCACTTCGGTTTTAGCCCCGTTACAGAATGGCTCGATAATGTCAGCGAAGCCCTAGCGACGGAGCAGATGGCATGAGTCGACACAAATTGAGAGATAACATCAGACAAGACCTACACCAATCTCACGAAGCGCAAGCGCTTCGTTTTGATCTTGTCGGGCTGACCACTCGATAGACGAGATGAGACCCTGCCAGATGCACGAGACCAGCTCGGTCTCAGGGAGGGGCTGCTCCTCTTGCTTGGCTTTGATGGCCGCGACGATCTGATCAACGATAAGCCGAATTTTGTATGACGCTTGGTTATAACGAGCTGAATTCAAAGGAAGAAAACACGGACTTCTGCGTGGGGGACATCCTGCTCGAGCTGCTCCTGGAGGGTCCTGATGATCCCATCTTTGAGAGACGCATATTGGCGCTTTGTCCACCATTCCGCAACCTGCGGAATGCCTGCCTTGCGGAAGTGCTCTTCAACGGCTTTGTCGTTGCGCTTGTTCGCAGGAAAGAAAAGCAGGAGGTCCTTGATTCCACCACGCTTGAGCGATCCGGCGAGATGGTCCATAGACTGCTCGGTCAGGTAAGTGCGAAAGATCACAGTGACGATGTTGATCGAGACATCTGGGAAGTGATGAGGCACTAAAGATTATAAATAGGCAGTGACATGTTATGTACCATTTTTCGCGAGATGATCTTTCGTCAGACTTTGCAGACAACCGGCACCTGCTAAGCCCTGGGACATAAGAAGCGCAATGGCGACTGCAAGCTTCTCCCTTTGTGCATCGGGCCATCGATTGATATATTGCAAAAGAGTTGGAAGAGAGGTTTCCTCCAGGGGTTTTTGGAGGTACTTATATCTATGGGAGATGGATCAGAATCGTATAGAGTATGAAAAGAATAAAATTTGCCTCCTGATGAGCTTATTCAAAACCTCGATATATCGCTTTATGTCCGCCACCTCCACGGGCTCCTTAGCGCTGACGATAGAAAACGGAGACTGAGGGGCGCCATCCTCAACGTAGTTGCCTCCAGGCTGGAGGATGCCGCCGGCAAGGAGAATCTCGAAGAGGACATCTGCGTATTTAAGAAATTCGAGAGTAGAGCCAGCCTGAACTAGTTTATTGGCAAAGCCGTCAAAGTCGTCCTTGGGGACAGTCTCGATGTGTTTGTAGAGCTGGTCTCGGAAGACTGCCCGGCCGACCGACGGCGTTGATCAGGCTGTGAATAAAAACGCTGGGTGAAAGGGGACGCACCGGTGGGTTCGTGTTTAGCGTGCGCCTTTACAGCACCTTTCCTAGCTCTGATGCGGACCCCCTGAAGCGAAGGCTTAGGTGCGGCTGATTGCTGAGACATCCACAGGTTCCGACAACGCTCGAAAGATGTGGAACTGAACAAGGTCGATGGCGCGCTCAAAAGTCATTCAGATCAGTCGGCTCCCTCCTCGGCGTCTGCCGCGCTCATAGATTCCAGATCATGATTGCATTATTATATTGGAATGGTGCTAGGAGGCATGACGGACTCATCAGACGAGTCGTGACTTTATACGACGAGGAGCCACGGCCGGGCGGTATGTACCACCCGCAGCGCAGCTACCGCACTGGATGCATTAATAGTAGAGCACCGATTCAAAAAGGACAAACTCCGCCCATATACTCGCCGCCTACTTGGCGCTGCGGATGCATATACCCTCCTGTCCTGGGTACAGGTTGTGATACGAGGGCACTGTCGAACGTAGATATCCAAAGTACAAAGCGGCAGACAGCCTGATCAAGGTAAATTCTTACTTAGAACTGCCACCCAACTGCCACCCATCAACGTTTCAACTTTATCCTTGCTACCCGCGCCCCAGTGGCTCAGCCCTGAGCCAGGAGGAACTGAGAACTATCGTGAGAGACATGCTTTGGGCCACGATGTCAATATCAGGAATTGGCCAGCAGAGCAAGCACTGTCAATTGTGGCCCTTGCTTTGTGTGCACAGCGCGTGCACAGCAGGTATGATATGCATAGCAACAAACAATACAAGCGCAGGGAGGGTGAAGACAAGCGCAGACGAGCCGCAAAGGCGGGCGGGTGGGTGCACGTGTCATGACGCGAGGGCCCGCGCCCGACAGACTGCGACCCACAGCGGCCCAACTGCCTGCCTCTCCATAAATACTCCACCACCTGTAGCCCGCTCGCACTTCGCTCCTCCTGTCCAGCTCTCTGCCACCTGAAAAACCGCCAAATATCCACGATATGGTTCCCGTAGCGTTAAACGAATCCGGTATGTTCCATGCTGAATCTCCCTCCACGTGCGCCACTGACCCATCCTGGCATGCAGCGAGCGCAGCGCGTTCTCACAAGTCCGTCCTCGCTGACGTCTCTCCCTTGTCGTAACTGATTTCACTCGATTAGCATGGCAAGCCGCAACGACATGCAACTTCCCGCAAAATACTCCTTCAAATGCGCTGTGACAGACTCCAAAGGCCCAAGGCGATTTATGGAGGACGCTCACTCCGTCATTGTCCCCTTCGGCGGGATCCGAGGGCAGGGATTTTTCGCCATCTTTGACGGACATGCTGGAAAGCAGGCTGCAGAGTGGTGTGGTCAGAACTTCGCCGAAGTATGCACTGGCCTTTCGTCGCGATCGAAATGCGGCTCATGCATAGCCACAGTGCCTACTACAATCGCTTCGCAGCGACACCACCGGAAACATCCCGGACGTCCTCAATCAGACTTTCCACGACGTCGATGCGAATCTCTCGAAGCTGGCGGAGGAATCGGACGGCAAGATGCACTCCGGGTGCACTGCCGTGACGGCCTTCCTCCGGCTCGAGGATGCAGACGGGACGCAGAGCTTCGTACCCAAGAGCTTCGACCCCCTTGCGGTTGCCCTTGCTGCAGCGAACTCACACGAGGAGAATGGCGTCGAGGACAGTGAAGGTGAGAGCAAGCCGAAGAAGAGTGCGTCAGACCGGCTGAAGAACGCTATCAAAGGGCTGGGTGAGCGCAGGTCGCCGTCGCCCCCACAGCAGCATGGGCCGTCTAACTCGGAAGCGGACACGGCGTGGACTCCGTCTGCAGATGCGCAAATGCGGCGCATGCTCTACTGCGCGAACGCGGGAGATGCACGGGGCGTACTGTGTCGCGCAGGGCGTGCGGTGCGTCTGACGTATGACCACAAGGGCTCGGATAAGCAGGAGGCGAGGCGTATCATGGATGCCGGTGGATTCGTGATGAGCGGGCGCGTGAACGGTGTATTGGCGGTGACGAGAAGTTTGGGTGACTCGTCGATGAAGGAGTATGTGGTGGGTGCGCCGTACACAACAGAGACCGAACTTGGAGAGGATGATGAATTCTTGATTCTGGCATGCGATGGGGTGCGTTTTGCTTTTTAATGGTGCTACGTGATACTAATGTTGAGATCATGGTGTGATAGCTATGGGATGTTGTTGATGATCAGAAGGCAATCGAGCTCGTCCGGGGAATTGCGGATACCAAGAAAGCGGCGGAGGAGTTGCTCGACTACGCATACAAGAATTATTCGACGGACAATGTTACAGTCTTGGTCGTTAGATTCAGAAATCCACCAGAATCTGCATGATTAGAAGGTATGTTAGATTTCATACTTTTTGCCCATGTATCATGTTGCCGACCCCCGGATTCAATGTCAGGCCATCTTGTCAGAGGTCGTCAATCATCATATCACTATGTATATTGTTGTTTGGAGACGTCACGAACACACCTATGTCGACGTCCTCACCTGGTTTTTCTTGCCTGCTTTTACTTCAGGTCTGGTTTCTGAAAACATGTGCTCATTGGGGCTTGGTGTTGCATGTAAACAATGGCAAGTGTATTCATGGCATTGGACAAATGTAACTAATTGTACTGTACGCCGAGGTACTGTGCTTATCGAATATACTGCATGGCTTGGGATATTGTCAAGAGGCCAGGCGCCGACTTCATGATGCGCAATGTCGATCGGCAGGCGACGCGGAGCGCTCGTCAGAAAAGGTATGTGACGCACAGTGACGTCACGCGAGGGGCATTGTCCGAACTTCGGTTCAGCCTCCATGCAAGCTTTGTGCGGAGCAAACCTGTCCAGGCCCATCATGTTGCCCCCTTCCAAGGCATTCAAGCACCGCACCACTCCTCGTACTCTGCA